CTGTGAATCAGAGCCCAAATGGTAAGGATGTCACTTTGGTGAAACCCATGTGCATTCAGTATTGCCCTCCCACAGATAAACATATCCCCCTGAAAAACTGACAGGCAGATCCAATTAAATCACGTATATGAAAAGGGGTCTTAAAGAAATAAACAATACAAATGCACAGATATAGTCAAGTGTTTAAAAGCAGAGAGAATATTTATTGTTACAAAACAATGGCTAGGTAATAATCAAGGATTTTATGTTGAAAGCTTTACATTACATTATCCATGGTATTACACAACCAAGCACTATATTAATTTACACTCGCTAGTGGTTTTAACATCCTGAATAATCTTTTTCTGCAGTTGGTAATAATTGCAATGCCATCAGCATTAGAAATCCATTACCAAGCACTATCACTAAACAGTTTTATTCACCTTCTTAATGCTATATACACACTGGATCTTAGAATGCTGTACCTCTCTGCCATAGCACAGCACGATGGACAAACGTCACCACAGAGATCTCCACAGGAAAAGTTTTCAAAAAAAGTTCTTCTAACTTCATTCTTGTTTCATTTAGTGTACCAGATATAAAAATGAGTATAGACACTTATGTTCTACTGCCACGAAGACACCAAACAGTAGACAGATACACTTTAGGGTAAAGAAACAGTACTGAACACACAGGACTTCATAAATTAAAAATGTAGTGATACATTAACTTTGACCTTTTCTTAACATATGCCTTGTTTATGCCAACTGTCTTTTGAGAAGTACAATTGAGCTTATGTAGTCAATACAACAAACAAAGATGACGCAAAGTGCAATTGCACATAACAGCCAATGGTATTTTACTTTTTACTAGTTAAAGCTAACCTGAGGGCAAACCTGGAAGAATGAAGGGGGGAGAGGGAAACACACATTCAGAGGGGAGCACACTTTTTGTTGTCTGACTGACCAGATAAGGTCCTAATACCAAACAATAAACGCTTACATGAAAAGGCAAAAGAAAAACAATCTAACAGAAAAATTCTGCAACTATCTATTGTGCAAAAGAAAAAAAAAAAACAACTTGCTATAGGTATATAATGTATGTAGGTACCTGCAGCAGTCTCTTAAACCCCAGTCATAGCCGAATGCTTGGCCCTTCTGACACTTCCAGGCAGTGTCGGAGCTTGCTGACTAGCCCTGCCCCCCACACATGGAATGAATGGCCCAGTTATCAACCATAAAAGCAGGGAATAAGGTGCATCTAAATGTCTGTACTTTATACATGCAGCTGATTTTTCTTTGGTTTTATGAAAAATTCTCTTTAGGTTTCAGACATGCCTTTACTGCAGGGCCAGACATTTTCACTGTGTCATGATACTTTAGTAATACAGACCTTGCTGTAAAAAGCAAGGCCTGCTTATTAAATCTGGGTCCCATCCACCTGGGAAAACTAGTTGAAAATGTCTTCTGCCTGGGGTGCCTAGACGAGGGTGATGTCATGCTCCTTCTGACAAGTTCCTTGGAATGATGAGGATCAAAATTCTTGCAAGAACATGGTTTTGTCCTGGACTGGCGTGTCACCTCATGAGATTCGGGGTAGTGATCAGTTACCTGGAATCTCGCCAGGAGATTAATGACTTCACACCCTGCAATGCATAAGACTGGGGTAAGGTAAGCATATAATCCTTACAGGTATATTTTTCAACCATTATCATGCAGCAAATTTTACAGGGGGAGGCACCTAAATCTAATAAAAGGGACCTTGAATTTTACTGCAAGGTTCACTTTTATAATAATTGTTTTAGTTGACCTGAGGAAAATATTGGAATAAATAATGATTTATGGTCCATGATTAAAATGTATGAAAAAATAAATCTGTTGTCAATGGTATGGTGATTGTCAGGTACCAAGGTACAAGGCTACATGACGCGTATGCATATAATTACATAGTTTGCTGATTATTGAATGGGCTCAACATCAATATGATACTTGTCTATATTAAGAAAAATAACAGGCAAACTGCACAGAAGGTACCATAAGTTAACTACTCTAAATTTACTATGCTGTGTTACTACCCCAATCTGCTAATACTTCTGGGTATGAAGCAAAATTAACACCATGCCTAGGCTTGGGGCCTTAACAGTTATTGCCCTGCCCCGATTACATGGTGCAAGTATCAGCATTTGGAAAGTAGATGATCTATAGGAATGTTGGGTGAGAATACCCCTTATGAAGCTTGTTGTGCAACATACTTGTTACTTTGCTTAATGCTGATGAAATACAGACCACAATATTCATGACACTAAGGGTATCCAATATCCGAACAAATCCACTTACATAAATGAAACTCGGAAACTGTCAAACTAGATCATTTTGAAAATTAATAAATCCTCTTCACTTTTTTTTTAAACAGAACAGTGACCTGAAATATTCCCAACATTTTTAAGGTTATGTTAACTAAATAAATACCTGGTATGTATTATAAATCAAAAAGCTGTTTGCAGAAACCCTTAACAACTCAGCATTTTTCAATGATCTTACCACTCTAAAATCTGATTTTAATGCTAAAATGGTGTTACTGCACTGCATTACTCATTCTGTCCTATAGTTATTAAAAAAGAAAAATGCAGGAAATAGAGGGGTTTTGTTTCCCTCTTAGTCTCATGTTGAAATGCAGATTTCAGGATAACATCAACAGTATATGCATTAGGGATTTGATGATTTGGTTACAGACTAATGTTAATTTAGTTTACAATAAAAATTAACTTGTAAAGTGCTATTTTTTGTTAAATCAACTTCTACCATCACAACATGAAGTTACAGATCCTGACAAGAACAGGGAGTATGATGCTGGATCCTTTGGACTGGCTCTATGGATCCTCCAAAAGCTGGAGCTGGAGGCCATGGTACTGAATGCATCCTGCTCGGCTGACAAGATGTCCAAGGGTTAAAAACTGAAATGCAACAGGAGAATACAGGGGCAGCTCTCCACAACCACATGGTTCACAGTGGTACACTGCATTTTATTGCAAGCTGCTAGTGAAAGCAGCACAAGAAGTACCAGCACACAGGAACCCCAGGTATGGGGATACTTGTGTATTAGTATCGTACCACCACTGCACTGCTCTTGCACGACTTTGATACTGCACCAGCTGTGCATGACCCCACCACTTCACCAACCATGCAAGAACCCACCACTGCCCTGACCATGCCTGCCACTGTAATAAATGTCAACAACCCTTTGCTGCCATTACATTCAACCTATTGGTGCCACAGCTCTAATGTGTGTGACCCCAACCGTAGCCACTGACCCAGTGCATTGGTAATGTTCAACCCCGAGCTTCGCCAACACACTGCCATGCACCTCTGCCCTAGCTATCAGTGCAGTGATGCATAATTCCATGTTAAGCCTTTACAATGAACGGGCACACTTTTGCTAGTCTTTCTATTTTCTCCTTATTATAAAATAAACAGTTTTGAAGACATCTGAGATAATGTTTACATCACTACAAACGATTTTTCCATAATATATGTACAATAAATATATGCGTCTAGATGCCTGCGTGTCGCAGAACATTTCTAGTAACCAGTACATAATCACACATATCAGGAGGCACACCCAGGTGGTGCACTCACATTAATCTTACTGCTAGTCTACATGATCGTTAAAACTGAACAAAGCATTGCCGAGAGAGCGACCCCCTGCAGTCAGTGTGCAGAGGGGAAACTGCTCATGCAAAACCCCAGCAGGAACTAGAAGATCTGAGCTATCACTGTAGAAGCACAGACTACTACAGTGATTGTCATCTTCCCAAACAGCCAATTAGGTGTGAGATATATGAACTCTTACATTGTGCCAAGCTGGACCAATGCAAGTATGTAATAAAGATCATTCCTGGAGTTCTATATTAAAGAGACTACTCACTCGCTTCTACTGGGTCATTTCCTTGCTGGCAAAAACATTGCAGAAGTTTGCTTACAAGTGGGGTGGAAGAGAGAGTGAAACCTTGCTGCTTCAGCCAGCAACAGAGCAATGCCAAAGGAGCAGGTGAGTGCTCCCTGTATGGCCTGCTCCTTGCTCAACTGCTAAAAGTACATACATTACTTTAAGGATTGACCCTTAATGTGCAGCTTATCTCTAACAATAAACATCACTTATTTGTGCTACCTTTTGGTCAGGTACAAGTAAAAGAATTCTGCTGTATTTGCTCAGTAAGTGCAAAAATAAATATACAAGGTATTTAAAGGAAAAAAAAAAACATGCGGAAAGGTACATGTAGTGTAGAGATATATGGCATATGTTTTTTTTTTTTTTTAATTTTGCCCTGACATATGCTTTAAGGAGATGTCATACTACAGATCTTGTTGCTGGCAACAACCCATCAGCAATTGAGCAAAGAGCGAGCCATGTAAGACTACCCTTGAAGGCAGATTTTTAGAAATTCTTTGTGCAGTGTCAGAGAGCTATTCACTTTTCTATAGAGAAAAGGAAACATATTTCATTTCAAGTGCAACGCTAACATCTGAATGTGGGAGAACATTAAAGCTGGTTCCATTGGCTTGCAACAAAACAGAAAGATCTGTTTATTGCCTAGTCTCAAAATAACTGCCAAACACCAACTCTATAGATTTTGGATGCTCAGATCTTTATCACATTAGGAAAAGATGCAAATTGTAGAGAATTCCGTGTTCAAATTTGGTTCAATGGCTATATGCATTCACTAATGGGATATTTGTGCATATCTGTATGAGTGATTTCACATATTAAAAGAATGTATGAGGAAATAGTATAGCAGACAGTAAAAGGGTCCCCATATTGAATTCTAAAGGCAAACTAGCTTCTTAAACATTTTGTAGGTAAACTTTAATACAAAATACTAAATACAAAATTACAGATATATATTAAAAATTGCGATAGCTAACTTTAGGAACCTGAAGAAACTATAGTAAAAACAAACCTTGGCCACCCCTGCCAAACAATATTTAGAATGGTCCTATTTTGTGCAGTATATAGGTACAACCTCAGTCATATATGCTTTCTGATGTATCCACAGGCATAAGCTGAATAAGACACAGGGAAGAGGGTTCCTCCAGATTTGGATCTTGAACATGATCTACACGGAGATTTTCTACTTGCTGAACCAACTCTGAGGCCATAACTTGCTCAATCTATATAAAAAAAACAGAAAATTATTAGAACTATTTTTTAATGCCAACATTACATAGCATCTTATTGTAAGGTGAATACCATCTAAAACCTTTCTGGATGTTGTCAAGTCTGTTCATTTGAAACCTTTATAGTTTCACACCTTCACTGCTTTGCATTACATACAGTAAATAAAGATATGCATTTAATTTATTAAGACTCCTCACCTTTGCTGTGATCAGTTTATCTTCAGTTGGGTCACTGTCTGAGAATTCTTCTCCAAAACATAAGGTGACATGATAATCTGGTGGGTTGCCACCCATAGTCTTGTATAATTCCAGTTCTACACAAAAATTGCAATAATGAACATTAGTAAACTAAAAAACTGCCAGCATTTCTATTTAGGCAGAACAGAAAATCTGACATCTGCTTCAAATTATGGAAACAATTGACTTTTCTGCTATAGCTCTGTATGTTTACCAACTACCAATACAGTGGTCAAAAACTGTACAGTATTTTCTCATACAATAGTGTATTCTCGTTATGTTTACATCATTGTCTGCTTTTTTAAATATTGAACCTTTTAAAGGTAGTAATTTATTGGATGATTGCTGTTTAATGTGAAACTACAACATAACTGGTGAATCCTCCCTGACAGTTTTATGAATGTACTCCTTATTCTAGCAAACTACTTACTCTTACCTTTCAGGAATTTCTCTGTGTCAAATAATTTAACAAGTATATCTCTTTCCAGTTTATTAATTTTTCCTTGACTGTCTGTACATGGACCAGTCCAGTAAACACGCCCTTTACAAAATTTTTGTCGTTGGGCAAAGATTCCATCTTTATTGCTGGCTAACATAACTCCAGCTTCAAGAAATTTCAGAAGATCCCCTGTCTTTCTTTGTGTGTCTGTATCAAGTGGTTTAGATGGTAAAGGAAAAGGAACATGCTCCATCCAGCATTGAGTATTAGCTTTAGCTGACAGTTTACATTCTCCACTCCGGATCAATGATTGCGATACCTCTACACCACTATATAATACTGTGACCTGCATGTCTGAAAAAAAAAAAGAAAAATGTTATGATGCCAAAACTGACCAAAAACATCACTGAAAAATACTGAAAACAATACACTGTGGCGATAGCCTCTTTTAGATATTTAGTTTTATTATAATAATAATAATAATATAACATGTTTGTATAGTGTGCAAATTGTGGGTACTATATAAATGCCTGTACTAAATAACAAATATTTATTAGATTATAAGATAAAACATATCACTATAACAGAATTGTTGCCTACCAATCTAGAACCAAAGTGTAACAATTATTCACTTTATACACATGCCAAATTCATACTGGCTCACTGTTGTATGTTTTAATTTTTTTCTAAAATGGTTTAGTTTTTCATTCTGTAAACCAAATAAGTTGCCTTTCCTTTAATCCTCCTGAGTTAGCTCTAACAAAAAAGACATTAACAAGTGAGTGAAAATTTACTGGAAGGAGGAAATTATTCTTCTACATTTGTTCCATGAATTGTTTCCTGAACTGTCTTACCTGGGTTACAGTTTTTTCTAAATTATACTATCCAATAAGTATTGTACATAGAGATTTGAGGACTGAATACTATATTACTGGGAGCCAAATGGTATTATTTGAAAATTCATACATCTTACAGATGTTCTCATAATAAAGACAGTCTCTGTAATAAAGACAGTTCTTTTTAGTGACATTTTCATATACTGTATGAATTCCCGTATGTTGTTCACTGCTATGCATGAGAAGTTAAGCTTTTACAAGGTTCAGTTTTTTTTTTTTACTTTCAATCGACTTTTATTGAAAATTTTAAGGGTTTTACAAAAGCAAAGGTAGTAAAGTCAGTAAACTTCAATCAAAGCATACATATCGGTATCAAAGCAATCAAACATAGTCCTGAACTGCACAGTAGAACCATATACAAGAGGATTCATTACAAAGGTCTGCTGATCCCACAACAGGCTCCGTTAAGTAAACACAAACCAACTGACATATCAAGGTAAAGGTTAGAGCCAGGGAAAACAAGGGAAAGGGGGAGAGAGGTTGGGGTAACATGTTGTGAGAAACAAAGTTGTCGTTACCAAAATAGAAAGCATCAAATCCATAAAACACATATGAATAGTTTGCATATGCTGCCAACTGTTATCAATTCTTCTTGCAGACTCCGAGCCATACTATACATAGAAGCATTGCCTTTCAAACAGTATAGGTGTATGCCAAGCAGGCAACCAGAATAGCACAGAGTCCAGCAAGAGCCCGCTCCCCTGCCACCATCCAGCACCTATTCAGATGGAACTTGAGGGTAGCGAAGCCACGGATACCAAGTCTTCTCAAATGTATCCTGTTTGTCTTATAGAATACTAACTAATTTCTCATTTTAACATTATCCATGTGAGATTCTTTTGCATAAGAGAAGGATCAATTACTGAGTATTTCCATGCAGTGGCCCTACGACTTTTAAAGGGCAGCCACATCAAAAGGTATATAGGGAGAGAAGCAAAGACTTAACCACAGGCTTGTGGTTCAGCATTTTTTTTTTAGTTCAGCCAGTGGGATGAGAGAAAAAAACTGAACCAATTTCCCCCATCTACAAATTTTAGGTGGGTGGGGTAATCCTACCCAATGAGCTACTGCATTCTGAGAACAGGGAGACTTCCCTGGTGTCAGAATACACAGATCATTGCTGCAGCCGCTACTCAAATGGCTTTTAATCAACAAGGCGGATAAATAGAGTTTGATCAATAGATCGATTTCTGTTCAACTGCAGTGGCCATGTATGGGGGTTGATTTACTAAAGGCATATAAACTGCACCCTTTGCAAGTGCAAAGCCTAACTTTGCAAAGAATACCCAGTCACATGCAAGAAAAAAAAAAAAAACAGTATGATTGGATGGCCAAAGTCAGCAGAGCCTTTTCTCACTTACTAAGTTTTGGAACAAATGGGCTCACAGAGTGCAACTACAGCTGCAAAATACAAAGTCTGTTTGTCTTTAGTAATTCAACCACGTGGATCAAAATTTTCCTGGTCCCTGCTGAACTGGCCAATTTACAATCCATCTATGGCTACCTTAATCCAAATAAACTTGACTTCAGCTGTAAAAATAATTAAAATATTAAATATGTTAAATTATATTGATGAAGAAAAGTATAACCTGCTTGTTTATAGTGGTTCATGGAAGGCCATGTGCACTGGGCTACTTGAATTGAATCTTAACTAATCATTACTTGTATGTCTATATACAGGTGTACCTTGGTTTATGAATTTAATGCGTTCTCCGGGACGTTTCGTATTGCGAAAAATTAGTAAACCGAAACATGGTTTCCCATAGGAATGCATTGAAAACCAATTAATCTATTCCGGAGGTCAGAAAAAAGTAAAAAAAAAAAAAAAAAAAAAAAAAGGTCTTTTATCTGTTCAAAACTCTTTATAAAGTGCAATTTAAAAAGGCATAAATACTGTACAGGGACATGATTAAAAAAAGTTTGGAAATGCATTGAAAACCAATAATCCGTTCCGGAGGTCAGAAAAAGGTTAAAAAAAAAAAGTCTTATCTGTTTAAAACTCTTTATAAAGTGCACTTTAAAGTTACAGGGCCGGCGTCATAAACCTCCCAGGCGCAATGTATCCTGGGGAAACTTGCTTCATATTGTGAAAAAAATTTTTAAACTGAGGCATTATTTTCAAAGGATTTTCATTCGTAAACCAAAAATTATGTTAACCAAGGCGTTCGTAAACCGAAGTACGCCTGTACTATGTTTCTATATCCCTCCATGATTATTATTATTATTATTATTACTACGAGTTTATATAGCGCCAAAGGGTTTGCTCAGCGCTGTACAATAGAGGGGGGGGACAATACATGGCACAGTACAACAACAACAAACAACGTACGAGGGGTAAGAGGGCCCTACTCTTTCGAGCTTACAATCTAGGTGGGAGGGGGTAAAGGTACAGTAGGAAGTGGCTGAGGGGAATGAGGGGTGGGAGGAAAGAGGGAGAATGGCCGTTAGGTGAGGGTGGGGTAGGCTTCCCTGAAGAGATGGGTTTTGAGGGAGCGCCTGAATGTGAAGAGGGAAGGCGACAGTCTGATGGATTGGGGTAGTGAGTTCCAGAGGATGGGGGAGGACCTGGAGAAGTCCTGCAGTCGTGCATGGGAGGAGGAGACCAGGGAGCAGGATAGAAGGAGGTCCTGTGAGGAGCGAAGGGTACGGGTAGGGCGGGGGTACTTGGGGATCAGGTTGGTGAGGTAGTCAGGGGCAGTGTTGTGAACGGCTTTGTAGGTCAGGGTTAGGAGTTTAAATTTGATGCGTTGGGCAATCGGGAGCCAGTGGAGGGAGAGGCAGAGGGGGGTGGCAGAGGTGGAGCGGGTGGTGAGGTGGATGAGTCTAGCCGCTGAGTTCAGGATGGTCTGGAGCGGGGAGAGCCTGCACTTGGGTAGGCCGGTGAGAAGAGAATTACAGTAGTCAAGGCGTGAGATGATGAGGGAGTGTACTAGAAGTTTGGTGGTGTCAAGGGTGAGGAAGGTACGTATCTTGGCAATGTTGCGAAGATGGAGCCTGCATGTGTTTGTGAGTGATTTGACATGCGGTTGGAAGGAGAGGTTCGAGTCAAGAATGACGCCAAGGACTTTGGCTTGCGGGGCGGGAGTGATAGTGGAGTTGTTGGTGATGATGGATAGGATGGGGGGGGGGGGGTGTTGGCAGGGGGAAAGACGACGAGGAGCTCGGTTTTGGAGAGGTTGAGCTTGAGGAAATGTAGCGACATCCAGTCTGAGATGTCATTTAGGAGGTGAGTGATGCGGGCGGAGATAGTGGGGGTGAGGAGAGGGGTGGAGAGGTAGATTTGGGTGTCGTCAGCGTAGAGGTGATAGTTGAAGCCGTGAGAGTGTATGAGTTTGCCCAGGGAGGAGGTGTAGATGGAGAAGAGAAGGGGTCCAAGGACAGAGCCTTGGGGGACCCCAACAGAGAGGGGGAGGGAGGGGGAGGTGGCACCATTGTAGGTGACACTGAAGGAGCGTCGGGATAGGTAGGATGAGAACCAAGAGAGAGCAGTATCTCTGATGCCAAGGGAGAGTAGTTTATTAAGGAGGAGGGGGTGGTCAACTGTGTCGAAGGCCGCAGAGAGGTCCAGGAGAAGGAGGACAGAGTAGTCGCCCTTGGCTTTGGCGTTTAGTAGGTCGTTAGTGATTTTGAGGAGGGCAGTTTCAGTGGAGTGTAGGGGACGGAAGCCGGACTGTAGTGGGTCAAGGAGGTTATTGTCTGTAAGGAGGGAGCTTAGGCGATCGTAGACTATGCGTTCAAGGAGCTTGAGGTGAGTGGCAGCAGGGAGATGGGTCTGAGGTTGTTGGGGTCCGCGGGATCCAGGGAGGGCTTTTTGAGGATGGGGGTGATATGCGCGTGCTTTAGGGGGGAGGGGAATACGCCAGTAGAGAGGGAGAGATTGAAGATGTGGGTGAGGGAGCGGATGAGGGAGGCGGGGGGTGCCCGGAGGAGTTGAAGAGGGATAGGGTCCAGGGAGCAGGTAGTGAGGCGGGCTTCTGAGAGGATCAATGATCAATGTAATCATATTCAAATGAAAATGACAACAAATTTGGCAGACATGGATAACTAGTGGAATGTGTACAGACCCATAGAAAATAGTATAATTGATCACTGTAATGCATGAAATGTATAGTTCTATATAAAACAATCACAATACCTTTATTTGTGAAGTGTGGCGGGGGGGCAACGATTGTACTAGGAAACCTGTAAAAGTGTGAGACATAAATATTTAATATTGAAATAAAGTGAATTGTTTGTTACAAGGAATATAATTTTTTCCCCAACCCACATCCTAAAGCAATTTTAAAGTATCAAAATATATCTGACATATAATCCAAAAGCCTTGACGCATCTTTGATAAAAATGTCATGGTCCAAACCTGACTCGTTAATGAGACTGTATGTATGTAAGACTGACATGATCTCAGAGACTACTATTTGAGAATGCCATGCTCCCTCAGAGATTACTATGTGAGACTGTCATGTTGTCAGAGACTACCATGTTCTCAAAATGGCGGCAGGAAGAAACAGGAGCAACCCTGAAGGCAATTTACATAACAGCCAAAAGGCACTTTTATTTAAAATGTGCTCCATTTAATAACTTGCTGCTAAGTGCAATACCTCCCTCTATTTTTTCTTGACCTTTGAAAAAGGACCCTGGGGATAGTTAATGTCAGAACATACTGTAGTGGTTTACCTGGCTGATTACAGTTACTGGAAATACTTGTCTGCTGAGGATAATCCTCCGCCTATTCTCAAGAGCAAGACTAAATGTTTGTAGAAAGGAAAGATAGAAATCTCTCAAGAGTAAAGGGCTATGTGAGTGTTGTCATGTGCAAAAGCTTCTAAAAGTCTTTTGGTTATCTACAGCCACATTTTGATTTTTTTTCCTTTTAACTTGCTATGAAGTGACTGGCCAAGTTTACTGGCATTTATGCGTTTCCATAATATTTGTAAACATACAAATCTCCTAGTGACAGAATAATATATAGTAAATTAGGCTAAAAGAATAAAGTTGGTGGCATGCATTTAAGGGCTCACTCACCTAGGCTCAGAGTCCAATACAGCATGAAAAGCCGTTTGTTTATACGTTCTTGTACTAGTGTGTAGCTGCGTGCAGGCAATTCATATAAGTGAATGGATACACATCGGCTATGCAGACTCAACCACACAGCCCAGTTTGACAGAAACGCAGGGGTGGGTGTACAGCCATGGCACACAGGCTCTGCACTGGGGGCTGTGCACCTGTCCTTGCATACCTGTCAACGCAGCTATGCTAGTGAAACTGTTTAGATAATTCTTATCCATTCATTTATATAGGCTCCCTGCATGCAGCTACATGCCTGTATAAAAGGATTAATAATTGGCTCTTCATGCCGTATGGAGTTCTGCACCCCTGTAAATGAGCCCTAAATGTCTCATAGCATCAACATATCAAAGTATGTTTAATGTGACCACCTACTCTGGGTAGTGTTGTGGAGTTCAGGCTGGCATGGCTCGCATTGCTCGCATTTAGGAATATGTTGTTTTATAGGTGATGTATCAGCATTGCTGGAGTCACTTCCATTTCCAGAATCAGCAGAGGCACAGCTGGTTGCCTCCAGTGTCTCGATGTGGGATAGCTCCTGGAATACACATAAAAAAAAAATCAAGCACAAGTAGAAAATATAATAAAGCAAGAGTTAATTTGCTTTATTTCAGCATGGAGAAGGGTTAGAGATTCACTAAGGTTTTATACTGCAATATGTGTCCCTATTGGAGAGATTTACCTACACTTCATGTCGGGACAAACATTTTTAGTAGCGTGAGAAAGGGTTCCAAATTCAGATAATTATTTATTGCTATAAGTGCATTTTCTCCAACCGATAACCCCCCCACCCCTTATTACTTGTCTGGCCACTTGCCGTCTGGAAGATTTACCCCACTTCATGACCAGGCCATTTTTTGTTATATGGTGCGGAGCTACTTTAACGGACAATTGTGCTGTCATGCAACACTGTAGACAAATTAAATGTATATAATTTTTTTTCACACAAATTAAGCATTCTTTTGGTGGTATTAGATCATCACTGGGTTTTTTATATTTTGCGCTATGAAAGAAAAAAGACCAAATTTAAAAAATATATATATTTTTTACTTTTTGATATAAAACATATCCAAAAAAAATAAATAAATAAACTTACTTCATACATTTAGGCCAAAATGTATTCTGCTACATGTCTTTGGTAAAAAAAATCCCAATATAGCATCTACAAATGGCGATATATATAATATATACTGGAATTTTTATTAAAAAATTTTTATACTAGTAATGGCAGCGATCAGCGACTTATTGGGACTGCAACAGTACAGCAGGCATTCTGACACTAACTGACACTGGGTGAGAACTGACTAACTGCAACTAACATCTCCAGTGACACTAATACAGTGATCAGTACTAATAAAAAGCACTGGCACTGTACTAATAGCACTGGGCAGGAAGGAGTTAACATCTGCGGTGATCAAAGGGTTGACTGTGTGTTAGGGAGTGATTAAACTGTTTACCGTGTAACGTTTTACTAGGGGACGTGCTGGTTTTTATCTCCCTGCTTTGCACCTGGACCTGGTGATTGATACCTACAGGAGCTAATGACAGCACGGGTAGGACAGCGCATGTGCCCCCTTCCCGAAAATGCAGATTCATGTATATATACGTGATTTTGCGCAGAACAGCCACCCTGTAGCAGTAAAACTGCTACAGGGCAGTTGGCAAGTGGCTAGACATCACATGGGCAGAAAGTGAAGAAACATTTCCCCAACGCACAGAAATGATGCACGGAAACATTACTGTGTCAGAAATTTTACCTATTCTCCGCTCTATCCAAAGCCAAAATAAAACATTTTGGTTAGAGTCAGACTTTAATCTTACCAGTTTCACCTGTTTAGGTTTCATTTCTACATGATCAAGTTCATCACAGGATTTGGCCTTAGAATCTGCATGACTCTTCCTCTTCTGTGCCGGTTTTCCTGATGAGGATTTTTCTGAAGTAAAAGAAAATTACAAACATGAAAAAGTTGTCTGCAGTGCTGGAAATTCATAGTCCTCTAGTGCTTTTGATTCTACAATCTTAGGAACTGCTTGACTAAAGTTCAGGTAACCACTTTTATTTGACTCTCCTCTATTACATTATTTACATAGTTACATAGTTGATAAGGTTGAATAAAGACACCAGTCCATCCAGTTCAACCTGTGTGGGTGTGTATGTGTATAATTATGTTTCTTACACTTCCCGAATCCCTGTATATTGTGTTCAATAAGATGCCTATCTAAAAGTTTTTTTTACATTATCAACACTTCCTACAGAACAGACACCACCGATTTTGTATGGAAATTCCACATCCCTACTGCTCCAACATAAAAAGCCTCCTTCGTGGTTTTAGGTTGATCCACTTTTCATCCAACTTCATTGAGTGGTCATGTGTCTCCTTGAGTGATCTGAGACTGAATAGTTTCCTCCCAATGCTAGAATCACCATTTAGATATACAGTAGGGATCGAAAGTTTGGGCACCCCAGCTAAGCATTTGTATTAATGTGCATAAAGAAGCCAAGGAAAGATGAAAAAATCTCCAAAAGGCATCAAATTACAGATTAGACATTCTTATAATATGTCAACAAAAGTTAGATTTTATTTCCATCATTTACACTTTCAAAATAACAGAAAACAAAAAAATGGCATCTGCAAAAGTTTGGGCACCCTGCAGAGTTAATATCTTGTACTGCCCCCTTTGGCAAGTATCACAGCTTGTAAACGCTTTTTGTAGCCAGCCAAGAGTCTTTCAATTCTTGTTTGTGGTATCTTTGCCCATTCTTCCTTACAAAAGTCTTCCAGTTCTTTGAGATTTCTGGGCTGTCTGTCACGCACTGCTCTTTTAAGGTCTATCCATAGATTTTCAATTATGTTGAGGTCAGGAGATTGTGAAGGCCATGGCAAAACCTTCAGTTTACACCTCTTGATGTAATCCCCCGTGGATTTCGAGGTGTGTTTAGGATCATTATCCATTTGTAGAAGCCATCCACTCTTTAACTTCAGCTTTTTCACAGATGGCATCAAGTTACCATCCAAAATTTGCTGAAATTTTAGTGAATCCATTTTTCCTTCTACTCGTGAGATGTTCCCTGTGCCACTGGCTGCAACACAACCCCAAAGCATGATTGATCCAACCCCATGCTTAACAGTTGGACAGAGGTTCTTTTCATTAAATTCTGTGCCCCTTCTTCTTCTCCAAACGTACCTTTGCTCATTCCGGCCAAAAAGTTCAATTTTAACCTCATCGGTCCACAGAACTTGTTTCCAAAATGCATCAGGCTTGTCTATATGTTCATTTGCAAAGTTCAAACGATGATTTTTGTGGTGAGGACGTAGAAGAGGTTTTCTTCTGATGACTCTTCCATGAAGACCATATTTGTACAAGTATCTCTTTATAGTGGAATAGTGTACCACAACTCCAGTGTCTGCCAGATCTTTGTGGAGGGATCGTGCAGTCAAACGTGGGTTTTTGAATTGTTTTTCTCACAATCCTGCGAGCTTTTCTGTCTGATATTTTTCTTGGTCTTCCAGATCTTGCTTTAACTTCCACTGTTCCTGATGACTGCCATTTCTTAATTACATTCCGAACAGAGGATATTGACATCTGAAAACGCTTTGCTATCTTCTTATAGCCTTCTCCAGCTTTGTGAGCGTCAACTATTTTCAGTTTCAGTTTTCTAGACAACTGCTTAGAAGAACCCATGGTGCTGATTGTTGGGGCAAGGTCAGATGAGTCTGGGCATTTAAAACCTTTGAGATTGACATCACCTGGTCTTCCCAGACGATGATTGAGAACAATCCATGACACTGGCAGGTCTCAGCTTGGCAAAGGGGGCAGTGCATGCTATAAATTCTGCAGGGTGCCCAAACTTTTGCAGACACCATTTTTTTGTTTTCTGTTATTTTGAAAGTGTAAATGATAGAAATAAAATCTAACTTTTGTTGACATATTATAAGAAAGTCTAATCTGTAATTTGATGCCTTTTGGAGATTTTTCCATCTTTCCTTGGCTTCTTTATGCACATTAATACAAATTTTTAGCTGGGGTGCCCAAACTTTCGATCCCCACTGTATGTATATCGCTATCATATCTCCTTTAGGGTGTCTCTTCTCCAGGGAGAATAAGTTTAATGTTTGCAGCTGTTCCTCATAACTGAAGTCCTCCAGCCCCCTTATAAGCTTTGTTGCCCTTCTCTGGGCTCTCTACAGTACCAGCAAATCCTTCCTTAAGACTGGTGACCAGAACTAGACGGCATACTGAAGATGTGACCGGACCAGAGTTTTATAAAGTGGCAGAGTTATAATTGTATCTCTTGAGTAAATACCCTTTTTATGCATGCTAATATCCACTACAGCTTGGGAAGATTTTACCCTCTTCATGACCAGGCCGGTTTTAGCTATTCAGCATCGGGCTACTTTAACTGGTAAATGGGCCAGGTCATGCAACACTGTATACAATTGAAATTTATATAATTTTTTTTTTCACACAAATAGAGCTTTTTTTGCTGGTATTTACATTTTTATTATATAAATGAAAAAAAAGACTAAAAATTATGAAAAAAAACAATATTTTCCATTTTCTGGTACAAAACAGCAAAGAGACAGCCCAGTGCATCAAAGAGACAGCCCAGTGCATCAGAGACACAATCAAAGCAGGCACAGCACAACTCCCATTGAGCAGCATTGTTTATCGATTATTATATCACTATAAAACTTGTCTTGCTAGTCACTACACAATAGATAACAACAAGAGGCTGAGGAGGAGGAGGACAGGCTAGCTACCCACTCCGGATCCAGTGAGTCCAGTCCATGAGTCGACTGCAGGGCTGTGCTACTGGCACGAATGAGCTTCCAAAGTTGGTCTGAAGGGAGAGGCGGAGAGGAGTGCAGATCACTTCGCTCTCTCAGACTGCAGCTGCTTGATCCCTACGTGGCTGCCGGCTGCCTTGATTCAGCCAGCAGCCGCCTATAATATTTATGAGAGAGAGAGGGAGAGATAATGCTCTTGCGGAGGTACCAGAACGCCGCTCCGGCACATTCCTCCAGTTGTCATTTTTGGTCACAATTTTTTGGAAAATGAAGAAATGAAATAAAAATGTTTAATTATTTTTTATTCAATATTGTAATTCTTTATTTTATATTTTCATTAGAGTAGTTCAATGTTACCTAATAACATTGTACTACTCTGGGGGACTGATTTTCTTAAACTCTGATTGCTGGTAAAATGAAGATCATTATATTAGCAATGCTTTGAACTGTCATGAATGGGTTAAGTTCAAGTCAGCTGTGATTACTAGTGATCTTTGATTGGCTATAACTAATGGCATTGTACAGGGGCTGTTATTGGCCCAGGTACCATGGGCTAATCACAGCTCACTAGTAAATGAAGCAAAGCTGTTATGAATCATTTTGATTCATAACAGCTTAGTTGACATTGTGATCATATGATCACATAGCAATCAACATGATCACTGGACCCCAAGTACCGGGTTCCACATTCTGCGGGGAGGGAGGGGAGGGCCATCGGTACAGACAAAATCACGTACGGGTAAGTCGTTTTGCCTGTATATGCCACCCACCCGCAGTAAAAGTACTGTGGGAGATCGGCAAGAGGATATTCTACTGGCCTTGCTTGCTGAAGATTGGCATTGCATGCTGTTGCATAGTCTGTCATCTACTAGGATCTTTTTCCATCCTTGATTCCCCCAGAGGTTTTAATCCTAGCAACCTGCATTCATATTTTTTACTCCCAAGTGCATTACTTTACATTTCCTATATTGAACCTTATTTGCCATGTATTTTATTGAGGTCCTCTTGTAAGGTTGCTATATCCTGTTGTGAGGTTATTACCCTGTATTACTTTGTATCGTCAGCAAACACTGAAATTTAACTATTTATCCCAATTTCTATACAATTTATGAACAAGCTAAACAAAACTGGTCCCATGACAGAGCCCTGGGGTACCCCACTTATAACTCCAGACCATTCAGAATATACACTATTTGTATTTACAGGTGACAATTTGCATAAAGAGCTTTCATTTGTACAGAATCATTTTGATGCATAAAAAACATATTTATAAGGCAAACTAAGAATTGCTCTGAATTCAGTCAGAAATATTTTCCCACCACAAGGTAAAACATTTTATATTTTTCATGCTGATCAATGCATCTACAAAATTGGCATTTGCTTTGTTAACATAACACTGGTTCCCATATGCAAAAAAGTTTGTGATTAAAGCAAGCTTGTACTTTTCCTTCACAAGTGTCTTTTAACCCTTCTCAGCAGCACATACTCACCCCTTTCCTTTCCAGTTGCTCTGTTGAGTTAAAGGATAAGCTCATCTTTGAAAAAATAAAAAATGCACATTTTTTGCAGGTAGAAAAAAAATGTGCATTTATTATTTTTTTTCTCCTGGGAACCTGTAAAGCATTGCATCCATGATCAGCAGATCACAGGTGCAATGTCAGGCTTTGCAGACTGTCAGTACACTTTCTGCCCGTACCTCCGATTTAGAGAGGCAGTTACTGAAGCCCAGTAAAGCTCAATGGACTACAAGTGAGCTCACCAACATACTCGAAGTTAATTAAGAACTACAAGCTGTCAGCTGCAATGGCTGATGGTACTTGTAGGCATTCATTCAGAGAATTCTGTAAATGAACAATGCGGCCATGTGGGCAGAGCTCCGCATAGCTGTGCTTCCTTAAAATGATGCCCGCTGTCACAAGGTACAGGTGTAACGTAACATGTTGAGAAAGGTGAACTTATCCTTTAACCCTTTGAGGACCAAGGGACGTATTTGTCCCATATTTTTAATTGCCTGTAGCATCTGATTAAGAACTTAAAATACTTTTTTTTTTTTGGTTTGAGTCAAAATATTAGTTCTTATCAACAAATGGATCTAGCTTTTTGCCAATTATTTCATGAAATGGCTTAATTACAGCAACTGAAGTGTACGAACTTTAAAAACAAAAAATTGATTCTTTTGGCGTTCCCTAATCTTATGGTCCTCAAAGGGTTAAGTGAAAATGCTTATTTCTTCCAGGCATGAAGGAGCATGTGATAGCACTGAGCCAATCACCAACACAGCACTGTCACATGAGGAGAGTCCATAGCTCTATGTATGCTGTGACACACTTTTTCTCCTGGCAGCCGAGAGTAGAAGCAGGTGAGTACAGGAAAGATATGTGATGTGGGGTTTACTTGAAGCTTTAAACTGAACTCTAGGCCAAGGCAAAAATAACAATAAAAACATCACAGAGATTTGCCCACATTCCCTATCCCAGTGACTGCTATCTGATTGCAGTGAGATGAACTTACTGTTTTCTCCCTGGGGAGAAATTAAGACTCACACTGGCCTTTAGTAGTTTCTCCAAAGGAACATAAGAAGTAACTGCAGAAAACGAAAGCATGAAGCAAGTCTGTGAGGGAAATCTCCCCAGTGGACCACAAACAGTAAGTCCTCACCTTGCTCCTCTGATGGAACAATTCTATAAACTTTGTATGGTTCAGATATATCCAGCTGGGACCTCTCTGGGACCTCTCCGAATTCTGGGCTTTTATTAAGTGCGCAACGAAGTCTTGTCTTCCATGCAGCTGCATCCACTTTATCTCCATTTTGGTATTTGTTCTTGTACAGAGCCCATGCCTATACATGTTATTAATAAATAAAAAATGACTAATTAAAGTGATTGCAAATCTTCACCTTGTGAAACAATCCATTCAGTTAAAAAAATTAAAGGCAAAACATTTGTGCATAGATATAAAAAAAACATTATAAATACCGCCTCCCCCACCTTTTTTTTTTTTTTCATAAGTGATCAAATTTTCTCTGCTCTGAGCTGCATAATAGCTGGACGAGGCGAAAGACCAGCACACTGATCTTTCTAGTAAAAGGCTGGGCAGGATTGGGGGGGGGGGGGGTGTCGTCAGGACAAGTCTGATCATTGGAGGAGAGCAGGCGGAGTATCCAGCACAGCTAGAGAAGTGCCCTCATGCCTAGCGTGGTCAGTTTTTAACAGGAAAGCAGAGGGACTGGCAGGAACACCAGTGATGTTACACAAATGAAGCAATATAAAGAGAACAGGATACAGTTTTTATACAAGTACATGGTACACCAGGCACATATCAGGAATATGAAATGTTGGGTTTACATATTCTTTAAGTATCGGTGTGTAAGTAAAGCTAAAAAAATTTTAGATAGAGAGAGAATGGTTAAAACTTTTGTCAGTTTTTTGGGGGAGCTTTTCATTCACTTCCTGTCTTTGATACACAACAGAAATAGAGAAGAAATCTCCTGAAAGTGGGGAAAAATTGGATTTTTGGCTTACCTGTAAAATCCAGCTCTTGGAGTACATCACAGGAGCTTTAGAAATCCTTATGATTATTCACCACCTACAGGTGATTGAACACTGGCAAAAAAAGGAAGCTCCCTCCTAGGCAACACACACTTCAGTTTTGTAGCAAGCCATAAATCACAAAACATCGTGGAAGAACCTCTGCCCCATGATGTACTCACAGAAATAGATTTTACAGGTAAGCCAAAAAGCCCATTTTCTTTATCGTACATCACAGGACACAGAGCAGCTTTATTAATTCTTATGGACAGGCATATCCCAAAGCACTGAAAATGAAGAGAGAGCAACAAGCCAACAGGCCCCCAAAACCAAACCAGAAAAACAAGAAAGAACCCCACATAGCAGCCTGCAAAACACTGCGACTAAAGGTAGCAGCCACCTGAAAAACTTTGTAAAAGTGTGAACTGAAGACCAGGTAGCAACTTTACAAACTTGACAGAATGAACCATTACTAGAAAAGGAGGATCCTTTCTTTTCAAACCATAAATTTTAGAATTAAGCTGAAAAATCCAACAAGAAATAGCAGAATTGCCGTGCTCAATGCCAATTGTAAATCAACCCCCATTTTCGAAGAATGCCAAGATATGACCCACAACATACTGGCAAAGATGAAAATTCCTAGCCTCACTGCAAGTAATATAAGATTCCTAGGTGCTGTGGTATATCTACTGCAAAGTATGCTTCCTGTCTTTTAGAAGAGTAGGAATAAAAGATTCCAAGAATCCCCTGTCTCTCAGGACTATGCTTTCAATGCCCATGCGACCAGCGACCGTAAAGAAGGATGGAAGATTGAACCTTGCAATAGGAGGTTCAGGACAATCTAGAAGGACTCAAGGACTATCCGCTGACATGCTGATGATGTCACAACACCATGTTTTCCTGGCCCAAGACCGGGCAATCAAATTCACTGGTATTCCCTCCACCTGAATCCTGTGGTGTAGATGCAGAAGACATTGTAGGGGAGGGAAGGCATAAATCAGGAAGCAGTGGTCCCAAAGAGTCACTAAGGCATCCACTGCAAATTCCAAAAATCCCTGGTCCTGGAGACAACCCTGCTAAGTTTCCCATAGAGCTTGGATGCCAGAAGATCCATATCTGGCATGCTCCACTGTTAACAGATCTCCTCAAATACCTCTGGGTGGAGAACCCACTACTGTAGTGCCAACTGCTGACCGCTAAGGAAGTTCGCCTACCAACTTTCCACTCCTGGAACGTAAACTGCCCAAGACATTATGAGATCCACTTCCCCCTGGGCCACCCGACGTCTTGTGCCTCCCGTCTTGTGCCTCCTTGATGATTTATGTATGCTACAGCTGTGGCGTTATCTGACTGAACTCTTAGAGGGAGACCTTGCATATGAGTCGACCAATTCAAGAGAAGCAAGCAAATTGCTCACAATTCCAGAATATTGAGGGGTAAAAAACTCTCCTGCTGAGACCTGCACCAAAAGGTGATCCAGAACCCCTCTCAAACCTGCTAAACTTGTGTCCTTTATCAATACCTTTCATGAGGGAGGGAAAAAGGACTTTCCCATCTCCAACAGCTGTGAAGACAACTAGCAATACAGAGAACCTAGAGTGCTGGGATGTAAGAACATTGGGGAGTTCCATAGACTGCAGCCTCCTTTCTCAAGCCCTCAAAACACTCTGTTGAAGAGGCCTAGAATGAAATTGAGCAAAGGGAACAATTTCTCGCAAAACCCTCATGCAAAAAGGATTTATTAGTATCCTGAAAACAGCCACCCAATCCTTAAAGCAATGCATTTCTTCAGAGGGATAATCACCCTTGCCTGAGCAGTATCCAACAGCATACCCAGATATTCCAACTGCTGAGCTGGGAGCACCACTGATTTCTGGAAATTGGGAACTCAGCCAAACCACTCCACAGTGCATACTGTGAGATGAACACTGCACTCCAGAAGAAGATCAGAATGATCCTCAGAAGCAAATCATTCAAGTACCCTAGAACAGGCACCCCCTGGGTCCGCTGAAGGCCCAGAATCAAAGCTAGGAACATTCTAGGGGCCATGGACAGCCTAAACGTCAGAGCTGCAAATTGGAAATGACTGTCTTCCGCCACAGACTGTAGAACCCTCTGATGACGAGAAAAGATTGGGATATGTAAGTAGGCATCTTATGTCCACTGATGACAGGAAATCCCCTGGCTGGAGAGAGGCCCTTATGGAATGCACCAATTCCATCCAGAAATTCAGCACCCAAAGATGCCTGTTGATATGTTTGACATACAGAATAGGACCAACGTCGCCGTTCAATTTTGGAACCATAAAGACAGTTGAATAGAAACTGCAGAACTTTTCATCCTCTGGAACAGGAACAATCACTCCCAAAGAAATAAAATGATTTAAAACTTGCAAAAGCGACACTCTTTTTTGATTAAAAGAAACATTTGAAAGCATAGAAACTGCCCTACTAAAAAACTCACTAATGATCTATTAATTGCTAAAACCAATGGCCACTACTCCGTACTCTTACTACTTGACCTCTCTGCAGTTTTTGATACGGTTGACCATCCCCTCCTCCTCAAAAAACTCCACTCTCTTGGCCTCAGAGACTCTGCTGTCTCCTGGTTCTCCTCCTACCTATCGCAGTGCTCCTTCAGTGTTACCTATAGCGCTGCCTCCTCCTCTTCACTCCTTCTTTCTGTAGGGGTCCCTCAAGGTTCTGTCCTTGGACCCCTTCTCTTCTCCACCTACACCTCCTCCCTTGGTCACTTGATAAACTCCCATGGCTTTAAATACCATCTCTATGCTGATGACACACAAATCTATCTTTCTACCCCTCACCTCACCCCTTCAGTCTCCACTCATATTACTAACCTACTAAGTGACATATCGGCATGGATGTCAATCCACTTCCTCAAACTCATTCTTTCCAAAACTGAGCTCTTAGTATTCCCCTCCAGCCCATGCCCCCTCCCCTGAGTTCTCCATCAAGATCAGTAACACAATTATCATTCCATCCCCTCATGCCAGGGTACTAGGTGTAATCCTAGACTCCCATCTGTCCTTTCACCCCAAAATCCAATCACTGTCCAAATCTTGTAGACTCCACCTCCGCAACATCTCCAAATACGCCCGTTCCTAACCTCGGAAACCACTAAGCAACTTATTCACTCCCTTGTATCTCGCCTTGACTATTGTAACTCCCTCCTCATTGGCCTACCGAATTGCAGGCTATCCCCTCTTCAGTCTATCATGAATGCTGCTGCCAGACTCATCCACCTTACTAACCGTTCTGTATCTGCCACCCCTCTCTGCCAATCCCACCACTGGCTTCCCGTTGCCCAATGGATAAAATTCAAAACACTAACAATAACGTATAAAGCCATTTATAACTCTGCCCCAAATTACATCACCGATCTTGTCTCTAAATATCACCCAAAGACCTCCTACTCTCTAGCTCCCTTGTCTCCTTCTCCCATGCTCATCTCCAGGACTTCTCCAGAGCTTCCCCCATCCTCTGAAACTCTCTACCCCAATTTATCAGACTATCGCCTACTCTGCTTTTAGACGATCTCTGAAAACCTATCTCTTCAGGGAAACCTATCCTGCCCTCAGTTAATACTGGAATCTTCTACTCTTCCAACCAGTCCATCACCCACAGATACTACCTTTTGTACCACTAGCCCCTCCCTCCTAGATTGTAAGCTCCAAGGAGCAGGGCCCTCCTATCCCTCTTGTATTGAACTGTATTGTTGCTGTATTGTCTCCCGTTATATTGTAAAGCGCTGAGCAAACTGTTGGCGCTATATAAATGCTGTATAATAATAATAAATAAAGATTGTAGGAAGAAATCTCTAAAATAACAGCTTGTAGTTGTGAGCCACTGTGCCAGTCATTCGCCCACATCAGTATCTCCGCTAGAGGAATCCAACCCTCTGGACAGATGTAATGCTCCAACCTTGATGCTCTTTAAAAACCGGACCTTCATCCACTGGGCATGCGAGTTTCTTGCGGAGATAAAAGATCACCGCATCTATCAAGGGCATACTCTACTTAGTGATTTCCTCCTCCATGGGGTATTGATGAGTGAATTTTGTTTAGTGGAGCAAACATCTTGGGGGTGTGCACAGTCTGCTTACAAAATGTCCTTAAGGTAAGGATGTACAGGGAATGACTGAGGATCTTGTGGTGGCTGCCATGATCGCAGGGGTGGAACTTTCTGAGAAGAGGACTTGGGAGGTGGCAACTGAGAAGAGGACTTGGGAGGGTGGCAACTTCACATCAGTGCGAACCTCTCTTCAAAGGCCTTCTGAGTCTGAGTTAAATATTGACCCTGGAGTTCCTGAAATGAAGAGCCCTTGGAAGAGGAGGCTTCTGCCTCCTTACCTTCAGGTATAAAGTTGTCTTCTTCTGTGTCGTCCTACAAAAGCTCCTCCTCTGTTAATAAGGGGAAGAGAGAGGGAATAATAAGTTTTCAACCTTGATGGCTCAAGCCAGAGCCCCAAGGAACACATTAACCACCCAGGGGAAACTGTAGTAGCATGGCTACATCCAGGTCCTCCCTACCCAGTGTAGATATTCGGGACTCGTTCCCCATGTCCCCTCCTCTCTGCCATCTGTGAGACTTGAGGCCTATTTACACCATAAAAATGGGACCTACGCTAAGATCCCAGTCAGCCAAGAGGGCACTGTGCAAATGCCAACAGGAGAAGGATGTAACTGCCAGTGCCCCCACCACTCTCTGAAAGTGTGCTCATATGACCTCGGAGGAGATGTTGGTGTGCTCAGACCAAATATGATATGATGTGGGCAATATGGCCACCATCATGAGACTCCGTCCCCTCATGATATCATTGTCCTGTGATGCAGTCAGTATCAGGGATTGCAGAGAGAGGAGAGCATAGCTCCACCCCCGTAGTTGGTGTCAGAAGGCTCCAGGACCGCCCCTCAGCCCCAAAACTGCAATCTGTGAGACGGTCTGCAGCACAGAGGGCAATAGGAGCACATAGAACAGAGCGAGCCAACAGCCTTCACAGAAAAACATACCAAAGACTCACAGCATAGTCTGATGCATCTGGCCCCAACCGCAAAGAGCAACACACACCCTGACACCAGGTCACTCTCCTTAGCAAAACCAGCCAAGTGAGGGGGGGAAGGGGGGGGGCAACGAGCCTTCCAGGGGTACCAGCAGGGCTGTCAGGGGTGATTACTAGACTGGCTACTGGACCCCGTTGAGGGGGGTGGGTTCCAACCTTCACCCAGCTACGCAGGTTTGTCTACAGGTTCTTCAAAGACTCAATCCCCTATCTGGGGTTCACTGCCCTTGACCAGTATAGCACCCTACCAAAGAAAAACACCAAACAATATATCATTGCGCAGCGTTCTGTAAAGGCAAGGTCCAGTGCCAATTGGTAACATTACAGGCTGCCCCTGCGTTGATTCCACTTTTTCTAATGGAGGGTCCAGTTACCATTCTTCTGATCAACCCTTTATACAGCTGCCCTCAGAACAAATGTTCCCACCATTGAAAGATTCCCAGATAGGGTAACAGATAGCAACAGAAACCTGACAAGCTTTAAACACTTTCACGCTCTCTTTCCCCCCCCCCCAAAAAAAAAATAACAACATGTTTTGATTTTTTCTGTTTCCCGCTAAATGGTTATAACTTGTCATAAATTCTGTTAATACCAATGCATGCAGACGTCTCAGAGAATTTCATTCCATGTTATCCTTGAATGCAGTTAAAAAATAATCATCTTTACAGAGATAAGTTTTTGGACTGCAGACAAAAATATAAAAGAAACAATTTTATCCAGTTATGTATTAATTAAATAATAATTAGGTGCTGTAAAATCTTTGTTCCTGCAATCAAGCAGTTATGCGAAATGAGGTCAGAAGAACAAGTCGGGTCTCCAAATAATGCTTCTCAACAGTTTGCATTGCCTCACTCTAAGAGACAGCAACTTTCAGTTGGGAGGGTTTCAGCAAGGCAATTCAAAAATCAGTTGGCAGGACTGGATATAGCCAGGTGCTGACTGACAAGCTACAGGCATGTAAATCAGTAGTGACAATGCTGATAGCCATGCCCCCCTACCCAACATTTTCTCATCCCACTGTAGTGCAAGTAGGCAGGGCATTAGGGTGAAAATGCTGCTCCGCATGCAGTGCAAGAAGCATCACCACCCTATCACAGGCAGCGGCTTGAGGTGCACATCCATGGCAGAATCAACAGGTATTTGTGAGAGCGCAGGAGAAAAAGGGAAACCTGTAAGTGAAGATATTCTCACAACTAAATACTGCAGCACATTTATTTTTTATAGGTAGCCAAAGTCCTACTTTAAGACCCCATGTCAACAACTTGCAGGAAAAGCTAACTGTAAGTCACAACGAGAATCGTTTAGGGTGACTGATAAATAATAAAAAATGGAAAACTGAACAAAAAAGCATGCTTAATTCAGAGTAATAAGTACTACTTTGTACTGCTTTGTAAAATAACATAAAATGAGTTTGGAAGGATCAAATAAAAGAAAAAATAATTTCAGATTAACAATGTAACAAAACACTAGTATATAGTAAGAGAAGTACCTTAAAGATGGCAGCATCTTCATCATGTCGAAAGTCCTGTTTCCCTGCATGTTTCCATGGGATTCGGAAACAAGTTTTCTGTTCATCATCCCACATTAGTCCAGGATACTTTCCACTTTCAATCTGCTCCACTAGCCATGGTTTAAGCTTCCGTGCAGAACGACCCCGACCAGTGGCCATCTGAAAGTCACCCAGCAAAATGGTTTACTCACAGCCTACACAGCCACACAATATCATATAGAGCTGTTATGAGAATAATCTTGTACTTTTTCATGTGGTTGACTTGGTAAATGAAACCAACCCATCAATAAAAAAAAAAAAAGTAACACACTTCTAAGCACCATGATATAACTGTCTAACTGCAAATACAAATGGTATACAGCAAAAGAAATGTTTGTTTGTTGGTTGGTTCTCAAACTATATAAAATTATTCCAAAGAGAATCTCCCCCTCTTTAAACAAATACCCAACTGAGATATATAAACAAAACACACCCCTTAAAAGTGATAATTAATAATCAAACCAACAATAATCATAAATGAGTCCAGTGTCTTAATAGTTCAAAAAGCACTCAAAACAGAAATATAAGTGATGAACTTGAAATTTTCTTATAGTGTTAATTGCATCCGGTGACTTTTGTGAAAACCAACAGTAAGAAAACAAACGCTTTAAGGTATCAACTGTAGAAATCATCCAACAAATCTTTCTCCTCCACTTGTTTGCAGAGTAACACTGTGCTATCATTCTTCCATGATCATTCATAAGCCTTGATCCCATATTGCCAGGCAGGCAGTTCCCATATGAAGTGTACAGCGATTTCCCCCATCAAACTAATCTAGGGGTTAGAAAGGCACTTCTGTTGTAGTCTACAAGGGATATAGTATTCAAAAGACACAAGCGAGCGCTAGGTTTTTTAGCTGCTTGCATGAAAGTGAAACCTCTTACCCTCTAAACAAATATATATACAGATATGCAGCGCTGAAAATAAGTTTAAAGTGACTGGTGCGAGCGCCTTATAGCGCTATAAGTGAATAAATATGACGTGAATCGTCCAATGATGACGTAGCAGCAAAGTGAGAACAAATAAATAAATAAATATAAAGTGACTTGAGTGATTTGTTGAAATATTGACATATAAATAAAGTCCAGCAATTAGGTGATCCGTGTCGGTGAAATCCGTGACAGGAACTGATCATGTGATTGTACTCACCAGAAGAGCAAATTAGAAGCACATTTGTGTATGTATTATCCCATTTTGGTCATCTGGGTGTGGATAAGGTTGGTTAAAATCATCTGGCACATGGTCGGCATGCAAGGCAACTACAGACCTCTGTCACAGTATCCAGGGACATCTCCTCAGAGCTCGTAGACCATCGGATAGAATTCAGCAAAAAACAGGAATCTCTCCAGCTTAGGGACTTGTTAGTAACAAGCTAGAGAATAAAGTTCTAATAGTGAAGTATTTGTATTGGAAATCGGAATAACAATATATAATACAAGGTAATATCTTGTCTTCTCCAACCGTTGTGATCCCCACAACCTCGCTAACACCCCCTTCCCTCTTTCTGACCACAACCTGATCACCTTCTCTATCTCCTCGTCCTCCAATGCCTACCCCTCCAAATGTCACACTACTACCAGCAGTAACCTCCGCAACCTTAACCCTGCCCCCCTCCACTCTGCAGCTGATCAACTCCACGACAGCATCCTCCCCCTGTCCTGCCCCGACTTGGCTATGACCGCCTACAACAACGCGCTCTCAACTGCCCTTGTCTCACTAGCGCCTTTAACCACACGCAACATCAGACCCCGACCGCTCCAGCCCTGACAGACTGATCACACCAAAACTATGGCGCAAAACAAAATCCCAACAAGCCTTCACCCGCTACAAATCTGCCTTCCACACCTACACCTCCTCCCTCCACGCAGCCAAACAAGCCTACTTCCTGACCCTCATCAAGGCCCTCTCCTCCAATCCTCGCCGACTCTTCTCCACCTTCAACTCTCTACTCTCTCCACCCCCACCTCCACCCAGCACCTCACTCACTGCCCTTGAGATTGCTAATCACTTCAAAAACAAGATAGACACAATTCGCAAGGACATCGCCGCAACTCACACGCCCTCTCAACCCGTCCCCTCTCACACAGCTACTCCCTCATCCCCCCTCCCCCTCGACATAACCTGCAGGGACTTCGTCGCTGCTCAAACTCCCTCCAACCCCCTTCCCCCTCACTCAGCTACCCCCTCATCACCCCTCTCCCACTGCCCTAACCTCCTCTTCCACCCCACCCTACATTCCTCACACTGAAGCTCCCCCAACACTACGCACCTTTGACATTACTACCATCGAGGAAGTCTCCAAGATCCTCTCTGATGCCCGCCTCACCACCTGCCCGCTCGACCCTATCCCCTCACAACTCCTACGACCTCCCTCCCCCTCCATCCTACGCTCCCTCACCCACATCTTCAATCTCTCCCTCTCCTCCGGCACTTTCCCCTCCCCTCTGAAACATGCACACATCACCCCCATACTTAAAAACGCCCTCCCTGGACCCCAATTATCCGAACAACCTCAGACCCATCTCCCTGCTGCCATTTACATCTAAACTCCTCAAGCGCTTAGTCTACACCCGCCTATGCTCTCACCTCAACGACAACAACCTCCTCGATCCCCTACAGTCCGGCTTCCGTCCCCTACACTCCACCGAAACTGCCTTACTCAAACTCTCCAACGACCTGCTAACCGCCAAAGCTAATGGCCACTATTCAGTATTCCTACTCCTTGACCTCTCTGCGGCCTTCAACACAGTCGACCACCCCCTCCTCCTCAAAAAACTACACTCCCTCGGCCTCAGAGATTCTGCTGTCTCCTGGCTCTCATCCTACCTGTCACAACGCTCCTTCAGCGTTACCTATAATGCTACCGCCTCCCTCTCACTCCCCCTCTCTGTTGGGGTCCCTCAAGGCTCTGTCCTCGGGCCCCTTCTCTTTTCCATCTACACCTGCTCCCTTGGCCAACTCATACACTCTCATGGCTTCAACTACCACCTCTATGCCGACGACACACAAATCTATCTCTCAACCCCCCACCTCACCCCCTCGGTCTCCGCCCGAATCACACACCTGCTGAGCGACATATCAGACTGGATGTTGCTCCACTTCCTTAAACTGAACCTCTCCAAAACCGAGTTTCTTGTCTTCCCCCCAGCCCGGACACCACCCCCCATTGACTTCTCTATCACATCGAACAACGCCACCATCAAACCCGCCCCGCAGGCCAGAGTACTTGGCGTCATTCTGGACTCCAACCTATCCTTCCAGCCCCAAGTCCAATCTTTAACAAACTCGTGCAGACTCCACCTCCGCAACATCGCCAAAATCCGCACGTTCCTAACCCCAGAAACCACTAAACAGCTCATCCACTCCATCATATCACGACTCGACTACTGCAACTCCCTCCTCACTGGCCTGCCTCACCGCTGGCTATCCCCGCTTCAGTCGATCCTGAATACGGCTGCCAGACTCATTCACCTTTCCAACCGCTCCGTTTCCGCCACCCCCCTCTGCCAATCCCTCCACTGGCTTCCGATTGCGCAACGGATCAAATTCAAAATCCTAACGCTGATGTACAAAGCTGTCCACCATACTGCCCCAAACTACATCACTGACCTAATATCCAAGTACCGCCCAGCACGCACACTCCGCTCCTCACAAGACCTCCTTCTCTCTAGTTCCCTGGTCTCCTCCTCCCATGCCCGCCTCCAGGACTTCTCCAGAGTGTCACCCATCCTCTGGAACTCCTTGCCCCAACCCATCAGATTATCACCTACTCTCCTCTCCTTTAGGCGCACCCTGAAAACCCATCTCTTCAGGGAAGCCTACCCCACCCCCTGCTAACTTGCCGACCTCCTCCACTCTTCCTACCACTCCATCCCCCACAGCTATCTCCTCCTGTGCCACCATCCCCTCCCTCCTAGATTGTAAGCTCGAAAGAGCAGGGCCCTCAATCCCCTCATGTTTTGCATTGTATTGGTATTGTTCTGTCACATGTTCTGTCCCCCTTTGTAATGTACAGCGCTGAGCGAACTATTGGCGCTTTATAAATACTGTATAATAATAATAATGCAGAGCAAGAGTTACACTCACATCTGGGATATAGAGTTAAAATGGCCGCCGGCCTTCCATGCGGCCTCAGCGGTGTGCCGTCACAACAGCAAAGCTCCCCTCTGACGCGTTTCGCACTCGTGCTTATTCCAATTTCCAATAAAAATACTACACTATCAGCACTTTATTCTCTGGCTCATTACTAACGAGCCCCTAAGGTGGAGAGATTCCTATTTTTTGCTGAATTCTATCCGCTGGTCTATGAGTTCTGAGGAGATGTCCCTGGTTACTGTGAGAGAGGTCTGAAGTTACCTTGCTCTTTCAATCGGGACCTTTCCCGATCATGTGACCAGCCGTGACGTGAGGTCACGGCGGCCACATGACCTACCTCCGGACGCAGAAAACTCCTCTTCACGCCGGGATGATCCGGCATGAAGGGGTTAAACTTATGTTCAGCGCTGCATATCTGTATATATACACACAAGGGATATAGGCTTCCATGGACAAAAGAAAAGATTCAAACATTTAGGTGGAAGGAAGCTTATGCTGCCTGCAACAAGACAATATAGTGTGAGATTGTTTTCTAAGCCTAGGTTCATGCTAGGGCTGCTGCATAATCATGCACTTTTCTGTGTGTTTTTATGCACGTTTTTGATGCATTTTCACACTTAATCTTTTTTTTTTTTGTAGGAGGAGACCCTGCCAAAAGCACCAAAAACCACATGGGCATTGGTTTTCCATGTGATTTTCTGGTACCAAAAAGCTTTTACAGCATATAATGTGTAAGCAATAGCAAAGATATAGTTCAAAATATTATATTACTAAAGTGGCTGACCCACGCAGGGGTACATGAATAATAAAGAAATACAATATCAAAAAGTGTGCTATGCTAAAGTTCAATAGGGGTCACATATAAATCAAGGTTGTAGAACATGGCGTGGGTCGTGCAACCTAACCCCTATTAAATGTAGCTGTGTGCATATGCTGATGGGTGGTGGGGTGACAAGAGCCCCATAGGAGTTCCGTCACACAGCTCGGGTGAGGAGGAGGCCTGCACAGTTTCTAGATGACATAGA